TCATTGATTGGCTGCCTCCTGCACGCCCCCTGCTGGGGATCCAGCCCGCTACCCAGGCATGTGCCCTTGACCAGAATCGAACCCGGGACCATTTAGTCCGCAGGCCGACGCTCTATCCACTGAGCAAAACCGGCTAGGGCTCATGCATTACTTCTTTATTCTTTAGTTTGATGGGCAAGGTGAAGTTTGTGTCCCTGAGACCTACTATGTGCTACAGCTACCACTCCATGTTTGCTACAGAGAGCCTGGACCTGCACCAGAACTGGGAGTTCATCCTGGTTCTGCCCTTTGTTAGCTGGTTAATAGTCTGGTTGTAAGACCACTTGCATGGAAAGGCCTCCCTGGCACGTCTCTGCCAGTCTCAGTTTCCCTAGCTATAAAATGGGATAACAGTTGTACCTCCTTGGTAGGGTTATTGTACTGAATGAGGTGACATGTAGCCCCATTATTAGATGGGCTGAACTTGGAGGGGACTCAGGAAATGGCGTTTTCATGAGCCCACCTCCATCCTCAAGGCGAAGTGGACTCTCCCCACTTTGCCTCTTCAGAGCAGCTCAGGCAGATCGCCTGGATTTCCTGCACATCACCAGCATTACACAGTCCAGTTCGCATCAAAATCAGTTTAAAGCTTCTCCCCCCACCATGCTCAGGAGTCTCAGAAACCAGCATGCAGCAGGGTCAGCATTGGCACCCTCTGGCATTTTAAAAAATTGTTTAAGGTATTACATATGTCTTCATGGGTTATGCTAATATGCATGCATACAAGTCCTTTGGGTGATCCCTTCCCCCCCACCACTTCTCTCCGAGCTTGGACAATCTGATCAATGTTTCTTAGTCTCCAGATTTATTTTTGTTCATCAGTTTATGTTGTTCGTTATATCCCACATATGAGCGAGCTCATGTGACCCTCTGGCATTTTTGTCCTTGCTCCCCCTCTGTGCTTCTTGCCTCCTCCTCTGGCCCCTCAGAGCCAGGATCAAGGGCTGGGGAGATGAGCGGAAAGGCAGGGCCTCTGGCTGAGCTGTGCTCTTGGCTCCCTCTGGCTCCCTGTGACTCCTGTCATGGCCGCCCTTTGTGTGGGGCACATTAGTGGTTCTTTAGAGATGCCTCCACCTGTCCCCTCAGGGGCCTCCATGAGGACCTTTCCTGATGCCCTGTCCAGCCTTCCCTGTAACCCCCACCGCCTCCTGCCCCGCGGCTCCTTGGCCAGCTGGCCTCCCATCATCCTACTCAGCGTCCTTTCTGGAGGAGCCTGGCTGCCTTCTGTGCTGTCCTTTCAGCCCCTGGGGAAGTTCACACATCCTTGTCCTGCCAAGTTGTCCCGCCCCTCCCTCTCCCACTCTGCCATCCTGGCAGCTGCAGCCAGGCCCCTCTGCTTCCCCAGGTGAGGGGCACGCTCCTGGCAACTCCCTGCGCTCCACTCCAGAAACAGCCCTGGGCAGCCCTGCAGGGGGCGCAGTGCCATTTCCTTTCCTGGCAGGCGCCCCAGTTTCTGCCAGGGGTTCTCTCATATCCCTTCATGGGCAGCGAAGAAGATGCCGCAGTGCTTTCCTCCCTAACGCATCCCTAGCCTGCTCTGCAGTGGGTGGAACGACAGTTTGGCCACCAGTCCTGTGAGGATGGGCCCAGTGCCTCCTCTTTTACTAGTAGAAAGTGGGATATTCATCATGGCTTCAGTTTGCACTCAGGAAGGGTCCCATCCTGTCTGTTCTCATATCAGGTCCGGAGCGCAGGGCCTGGTAGGTACCACACATCCCGTGCACGGGGCCTGCTCATTGAGCTTCTGTGGGCTTCCGCTTTCTCGCCTGCAAATGAGGGTTTATGCTAATGCCCACTCTGCCAGCCCTTAGTGCTGTTACTGTGTATACAAGGCTTGTGAGCTGCTTTTATTTATGTATTGTAGCCTCAGCAGAATGGGATCTCTCCACGCATGTTTAAGGCCTTTGTAAGCAAGAGTCATCCAGAATTCTCCTCCAACAGACAGCAGGATGCCCAGGAGTTCTTCCTGCACCTGGTGAATCTGGTAGAGGTGAGTAAGCCACCTTCAGAATGCTCAGCTGGGCGGTAAGACGTGTGCCCGCTCCCCTCCCTAAATCTCTCACTGCCCAGGCTCCACCAGCCACTGGATGGAGAGCTCCTCCTGTCCTGTTTCCTAGGCGCTGGTGGATCTCCTGTTCTCCTTTGAATTTGTACGTGTTGTAGGAGTGCTTATCAGTTATTTCACTCATCATTCTTTCTCCTTCCTTGGTGACGAAGCTTCTTGAGAATCCTGTGTGGTAGTTGCTGTCCTCCTGCCACCACTCAGAGATGGCCAAACTTTGCTCACAGCAGAGTTGAGTCACGTTAAATGCTGCGATTTTCAAAAGCCGCTAAGAATTCATGATTAAAGGTCCCCCCCCCCCATTACAAATATGTTCTTTATGGAAAATACAGAAAGGCACAAAGGAGAAAATCAAAATAAAAAATCACCTGTAATACCAGCCCTACCAAGAGCCAGTGTTAACATTTGAGTGTCTGACCCACAGGCATTTTCCAGGTGTATTTAGAATCGTGCTGTTGCTAAGCAACGGTTTCCACTTAACCTGCTGTGAACGCTTTGCCATCTCATTCGTATTTGAATTTAGCGTGATTTCTTTTTTATTTGTATGTAATTTACAGGAATGCATGTTATAATGATATACATGGCCTTGGTTTTCCCAGGGCGGTCCTTTAGCTTTGCCCCTTTCTCTTTAGTTTGGCTCCCTCAGGCCCTTTCTTCTAACTCCATCCAGGTCATCCCTCTCCCGTGACTTTTAATTGCTGCTTAATATTAATTCACAGGAGGAGTCATACTTTATTAAGCCAGCCCCCCATTTGGGGACTTATGATAAACACCAGTGTTTTGCTTTTAAGGCACTCTGGTGAAATGGCACGTCCCAGAGGGACTGTGTCGTAACATCGTTTGATGTTTACATCAGAGCTATATTTGATTTTATGCTAATTTTTATTTGTGGCTTAATATTCACAAATCCACTAACCTGACGTAATCTAACCTTCAGAGGAACCGCATTGGCTCAGAAAATCCAAGTGATGTTTTCCGGTTTTTGGTGGAAGAACGCATTCAGTGCTGTCAGACCCGAAAAGTCCGCTACACGGAGAGGGTGGATTACCTGATGCAGTTACCTGTGGCCATGGAGGCAGCAACCAACAAAGGTAATGGCTCCAGAGGGGGAAATCAGCAGTGGGCTTCTTCCGGTGCGAGAAGCCTGGAAGCAGTGGTCATACCAATTAGTCGCCTCGCAGTTCTGCTGGGCGGAGACCCGGCCCAGTTGGTCTGGTTTGCATGTCTCTTTCCATCTTTTCCTCGGTCGCCACGTAATTGCCTTTCAGAGAATCAAATGATCTGGTTTGCATGTCTCTTTCCATCTTTTCCTCGGTCGTCGCCACGTAATTGCCTTTCAGAGAATCAAATGCGTCACAGATTTTTGTGGAGGGCTATGGATGGAACTTATTTCAGTGCCTATAAATTTGACCAACTGTTTGGCTTGGAGTCAGCTTCATCCTGGGGAAGGTATTTGTAAGTATACATGTGGAAAAGTCTTTAATGGTTTGATCACTCATAAGCTGTGCTATGAAGTCTGAGGGAAATGATCAGAACTGCATTTTTAAAAAAAAATCTTTATTGTTGAAAGTATTACACATGCCCTCTTTCTCCCCCACATTGACCCCCTCCAGCCTGCCTCCGTCCCCCGCACCAGGCCTTCACCACCCTGTTGTCTGTGTCCATGGGTTATGCACATATGCCTACAAGGTCTTTGGTTGATTACCTCCCTGCTTCCTCTCCCTCCGAGATTCCACACTCTAGAACTGCGTTTTTTGATGTGTGACATTCAAGCAGCAGTCTCTTGATATAATCCAGCTTTGGCATCCAAGTTTTCTGGGACCTGTTATAGATGATGAAGTGTTACAGGCACCAGGCCCATTGGAGGGGCCTCCAGGCTTTGGAGGCAGGAAGAAGGCGGAGATATTGGGGTCTGAGGGGCAGGTTCCTTCAGGCTGTCTAATCTGGTTCTCCCCAAGCAGAACAGACACATGATATTACTTAGAATTAACTTATTAGAAGCAGAAAAAGGCAAAATATGTGCTAGGTTGCCTCTTTTCTATGAATGGGTCATTTTTGTGAAGTCCAACAGCTTCATGCATACTCCTCTTTTTTTTGAGGGGGGGATGGTGGTGCTCACTTTATTGTGCTAATTGGAAAGTGATGATTCTGGCGGTTTCAAGGCAAAATGGTTTCCATTTTCTATAAGCTCCTGCAGCTTGTGACCCGTTTTTACAGTTTTATCCTTTATAAGGATAGAAATGAGGGTGAGGGCATACGTTTGTTTCCTTTTTAGAACTAGGCTTCGTTGCTTTCTCTTGCCGACCTCGGGGATACTGACTCACTTGTTCTGCTCAGTTCTGTGATCCTGTCTGACTTGCTGTTTATGATTTGTGAGTGGTAATTATTTTGTTCAAAAAGGAGACTGATCATTTAGCCTCTGGACGTTGAGAACACCAAACGCCAACATCCTAGATATAAGTACATTGTAAACTGATGTTGGACTGGGAGATGAATTTTAAAATCATAGTCAGGCCCGGGTTCAGTGGCTCAGTGGTTGAGCGAGGAGGTTACAGTTGATTCCCGTTCAGGGCACATGCCCAGGCTGCGGCTCAATCCCCCATCGTGTAGGAGGCAGCTGATCAATGATTCTCTCTCATCATTGATGTTTCTATCTGTCGTTCCCTCTCACTTCCTCTCTGGAAAAAAAAAATCATAGTCATATGTGTTTAAGAAAACACCTAAGTACATACTAGCATGTATGCCTAAAAATAGAATCAGGAGTGATTAAAAAAAAAATCTTTATTGTTCAGATTATTACAGTTGTTCCTCTTTTTCCCCCCCATAGCTCCCCTCCACCCGGTTCCCACCCCACCCTCTACCCTTACCCCCACCATTGTCCTCATCCATAGGTGTACGATTTTTGTCCAGTCTCTTCCCACACCCCCCACACTCTTTCCCCCTGAGAATTGTCAGTCCACTCCCTTTCTATGCCCCTGATTCTATTATATTCATCAGTTTATTCTGTTCATCAGATTATTTATTCACTTGATTTTTAGATTCACTTGTTGATAGATACGTATTTGTTGTTCATAATTTTTATCTTTACCTTTTTCTTCTTCTTCCTCT